TACTGGGTCATTTATGTGCATTTATGCAGCATTATTGATGATGCAATAAACAGCAAAGTAAAGTATGCGCATCTATCATTTTGAGTCATTTGCATGTCTAGAATTTTTGTGAGGAGAATTAGCATTCCTCCTGCTTCTACAGCCACTCCTTTTCATCTTCTTTGTAGCTGCCTCTTCTGCTCATCCCTTAAACCTAAGTCTTTCGAACGACTTTTTCCTAGGTCTGTCCTCTCTGCAGCCTCCCTAGGTGACTTCATATAGCCCTGCAGATGGTAGTTCTCTCCTTTCTTCCATTTTATATGCATGTCAGCTGCTACCCCTTGGACTCTCCATAGATATCTCAAATTCAGCAAATCTGTAGCTGAATTGGTCATTCATAACTACCTGCCTACCCCGGAAAGCATTTTCCTTGTGTTCCTTCTAATGTCTTTACATTGTCCAAGCTAGAGACCTAGGACCATTCTCTGCTCCTCATTTATCCCTTGTGTTCTCAGCCAAGTTATAAGTCCTACAAATTTTACTTCCTTTATAACAATTGAAACTATTGATTTGTCCGTCCTCTGGTTCTAAGACATAATCTCACAACTAGACTATTGTAATAGCTTCCTAAATGGTCTATCATCAGTTTCACTCTTCCTGTACCAAACCCTAGCCCCTCATTCACCTGGCTTGGGAGGTCTACCGTGGCTCCACCAATCTGTGTCTGGTGCACATTTTAGTTTCTTTGTAGCCACCCACCCCTCCTGCCACAACTTCTCCACCACAGTACTTAACACTCTGTATGATAACTGCCAGCTTATTTCTATTTCTCCGCTAGATGGTAAACCCTGTGAGCTTGTGATCTTGCTCATCATTCAATCCCCAGAGCATGACATAGTGACTGTTGTACAGAAGGTGCTCAACAAATGCTTTCTAAATATTGCTGCATGTTAGTCAGTTTTTAAGCTTTTTAATATTTAAACTGTAGAGCAGGTAGGAGAAAATATTTTGAATTCTTATAACATTCATTATTACTGAGTACACAATAAAAATGACAGTAACACCTTGAATGTATAGCCCCTAAGTAGTTAGAAGCATTTCTTATGAATTATTTATTTGTTCAATATCCCTTTGGGGTAGGCTTGCATTGTTTCTTCTAGATAATAATAAAGGGGGAGATATAGCCCTTCCTGTAAGGATGTTAAAATACTTGTTGTGAGATGGTTGCCTACTTTACAGAATGCCATGAAGATTCATGAAGCTGTCTGAGGCTTTATGCTCTCAGGAGGGGGAAAAATGAGTTATATAAGGTAGTTTTATAGCTCTTATACATCCAATTTTTTAAGAATCCAAAATATTTGGGGGTGAAAATATGTACAAATTATTTCAGGCTGGGTGTGATGGCTCACACCTATAATCTCAGCACTTCGGAAGGCTGAGGTGCGCGAATCACTTTAGGTCAGGAATTCGAGACATCTGGCCAACACGGTGAAACCCCATCTCTACTAAAAATATAAAAGTTAGCTGGCTGTGGTAGCAGGTGCCTATAATCCCAGCTACTCAGGAGGCTGGGGCCGGAGAATTGCTTGAACTCAGGAGGTGGAAGTTGCAGTGAGCTGAGATCACATCACTACACTCCAGCCTGGGTAACAAAGCCAGACTCCATCTCAAAACAAAAAACAAAAAACAAAAAACAACCACAAATTATTTCAGTATTTAGCTTATTCCTGGACTTCTTTTCTCCGTATTTTTCTGGAGACACATTTGTTTTTCCACACCCACTCAAACCATCTGTGTACCAGGCAAATTTTCTGAGATGCAAAACCAAGTAAAATATGTCCATTTTATTTGTTTAGAGAGAACTATGACTAATGATACTGTGGGAAAAAGTGGTATAGTTAATAAAAACTGTATTCTCTGTATGAATGCCTAGAGAAGCCCAACAGCTATGGCCACTCAAAGCCATTCCCTAAGGATGGGTGTCAACACCTATACTTTACAAACCAACCCTCTAAAGAACTCCTACAAGAAGCAGAGTCAGTGTCTACCCAGGATCTGGAGGGAGCCCCTGTGAAATGGGATTTTTTTTTTAACACCATCAAATGGTGAATATTTTTAAAACATCTGCAATTTTGAATGCTATAACCCTATAATATATCGACATTTGCTTTACATAAAAATGTTTAAATTTATTTATCATCAATTAAATAGACCTTTTAAGAAGAGATACCATATTTGTTATTGCTTTGAAACACTCACTAGGATACTGGCCTGTAATCTGAGGGTTATTTTTACCCCAGTTTGAAAAGCACAGGGTCCTAGTACATTACAGCCCAAATAATGGGATTTTTGTTAGAATTTAAAAGAATCCTTCCACATGTCCCCTTTTTACTTTGCTATATGTAAACTCCTGAAAAACTATTTTGCCTACATGCTAATGAAATCTTTAAAATGTAGCTGTAAATACCTATTTGGCAGCATTTTCACAGTCAAGGTGATTAAAGAATATAAGTCAGCTTTCTCAAATAGAAATTATTCTGTTTGAGGAAAAAGATCTTTCTGAGGTGAGAATTACCTGTCCACTTGTTTCTTTAGAGCTCATTAAAACTGGAACCCAAACTAAGGAGTTACAAAACTTGAGGCCGTGTGTGTGTGAGAGGGCATTTAGAAAATGTGATCAGATAGAAAGCTGGTCATGCTTAGATATGAATACAAGAAGTGACTTATTTATACATTCAAATTTCAAAATATTTGTAAGGCCTACCATGTGTGCTGCTAAAAGGTTTTTAATTTACAATTATTTTGTTAGATAATCCTTTTTCAAGTGACATTATGATTTATCGCCACTAATCAAGATTCTGATTCCTCATAGACTTCTTATTTGTATCTGTTTTTGTTCTTTGTTACATAAATATGAGATTTATATATAAAATTCTGACTGTGTAATATAGGGCTAATGAGTCACAGATGGAAAGATGCTGGCACATTACCATCTAATAACATTTTAAACTCATATTCCATAGTAAAACAAAAGCAAATTGTATACATCTGTTTTCCAACTTGTAGCATTTCTGCATTTATGCAGAATCTATATTTAAAGGACTTGCATTTAGACAGAAGAAAAAGAGGACATAGGTCACCTCAAAACGACGCAGCCACCTAGTAGCCTTATCAGAACAAATGTGGCAAGAGAGAGATTTTCTCAGTTTTGTTTCCTGAGAAGTTGTAGTACTGAAGACTGAGAATCAAAGCCATTAGGGCTGAAGAAATGTCTTCAGACTGCAAACTAATTTTGCTGCCTCTCTTAAAAAGAAAAACATATCTCTAAAATGAGGAATGTGGTAAGAAAATATCCACAAAACTAATAAAATTAAAAATCTTGGAATTTTCTAGGCTCTCCTAAAAATATCTGTAAGATAAATTTGGGTGGGAAGAGGGAAAGGGCAGGAGGGGTGCCCAGGCCATGTTTTGCTGTGGTGGTGGTTTATTTTATTTGTATGGTAAACATGTTCTGTGTTTTTTTTTGCGGGGGTGGGGGGGGCAGGTGGGTAGGAGAATAAAAATCTTTAGTTTCACGTGTTGTTAGAAAAGAAATAGAACAAAGACAAAATTTCTCTCCCAGACTTACCCAATTGATAACACCTATGAGGAAGAATTAGTAGGAGTTATTGAAGAATGACTCTCAAAAACCTCTCTCCCCTGTTCTCCTTGGATAAGGAATTCAAAACTGCTTTTCTGCATCAAGGGGTTGTGTGAACTGTCAAGTTCTTTTGGAAAAGTTATGTGACAGAAGTGATTACTGCAGAGTGTGGCCATAAATCCCCCTGACATGAAATACACATGTTATAAAAGACAGATTTTCATCCACCACCTCTGCATGAATTCCTGAAACAGGAGAGATCTGAGATACGTCATATGATTGGAGAGAGAAATTTTGATATGTGGGTGGCAAGGCTATATTTTGTGAGGTGTACCATGTTTATTCTGGGGAATAAGTCTGATCTGATGGCAAAATTTTGTTCCCTGTTGTTGTCCAAAAAAGAATTAATACATGTATTGTATGTCCTGAGTTGTAAACAGAATGTCAACGGGAAGGAAATTGTTGTTTTCGTAACAGTGTCTGTAGTTATCTCCATTTTGGACTAACATTTTGTAATTAAGCTGTTGCAATTTTGTAAGTAAGATTCCAGAAATATTCCATGTAGCAAATTCTTACCCTCTGTGGACCCAGACCCTATTGTACCTGCCCCAGGCTCAGTGACAATGAGCGCTCACTCTCCCCATTCCAGGCTTTAAGACATGATTGGTTTGGCTGGGCATAGTGGTTCATGCCTATAATCCCAGCACTTTGAGAGGCCAAGGCAGACAGATCACTTGAGGTCAGAAGTTCAAGACAGCCTGGCCAACATAGTGAAACCCTGTCTCTACTGAAAATACAAAAATTAGCTGGGCATAGTAGTGTGCACCTGTAATCCCAGCTACTTGGCAGGCTGAGACAGAATCATCTGAACGCAGGAGGTGTAGGCTTCAGTGAGCTGAGATTGTGCCATTACACTCCAGCCTGGGTGACAGAGCAAGACTCTTTAAAAAAAAAAAAAAAAAAGGTCAGACGTGGTGGCTCATGTCTGTAATCCCAGCACTTTGGGAGGCCAAAGCAGGTGGATCACCACTTAAGGTCAGGAGTATGAGACCAGCCGAGCCAACATGGTGAAACCCTGCCTCTACTAAAAATACAAAAATTAGCGGGGCATGGTGATGCATGCCTGTAATCCCAGCTACTAGGGAAGCTGAGGCAGGAGAATCACTTGAACCCAAGAAGTGGAGGTGGACTTCGTGCAAAAAAAGGAAAGGTTTATTTTGGGGTCTCAAGTATCTAATTTTGTTTATGGTGTGTCAGACAAGGCAAGACTTAGAGCCAGGAAAGGGAGACACTAGGTATGTACTTGTTTTGTTTGTCCCCCAGTGAAATGTCTGTGTGACGTTTTATGTCGTGTTGTTTTGGTGCTGTGCTACGTCCATAGGGCCTGCCAGGCTTCCCCACAGTTGCTGCCCTGCACAGTAATCAGATCCTCACCGTCAAGGTTTGTGGTTGTCACCTGTGCCTGCATAGTCAGAGCTGCAATCAGCATAAGCGTGAGCAGGAACCATTTAATTGTCTTGCCGAGCCCGTTAGCTTCCTCTCATCATGTATATCAAGTTATTGGGCATTTGAGACCCCACTTGCATAAGTGAGGTCAAATGTCAATTAAGAGGGTGTATTCTGAGCATACTTGAGAGGAGGATATTGACGTCAAGCAGGTACTGTGAAGAGAGGTGGGCATAACGATCTAGAACCATACCATGCCTTGATGGCTTAATTTGCATGCATTCTAATGCTCTGTAATATTTTTCTGGTCAATTAAATAATCCTAAGTACTCTCTCTGGACTTCGGGCATCAATGAAATGGCAGTCGAGTTCATGCCACGTTATGCTGGTTGACAAGGCTGACGGAAATGGAACTGGCATTTCGTCTCTAGACTTTCTTCTCAGAGTGAAGAATGCAGGAGTGCACCTGCTTTCCTGCTTCTGGGAATAAACTACCTTAAAAAGATCCAACATCCACAGCAAAATGATGGGGTACAAAAAATGTTCATTACTACTGAAGATATCTGGTTTCATCATCCCATTTCAGGATGATGTTTCTTTCAAGAAGAGCCAGTGGGTCTAATGTTAGACATAAGTGCCAGTTCTATTTTTTTAAATCATTGTAAGTCTAATGTATATATCTTTATTTCTTTCTTGGGGCCTTCTGATGTCTATTCTTCAACTCTCTCATCTCTGAACTTCAACCTTTGACCTCACCTGACTGATCAGATGGTGTTTCCTAAAATCAATCATGGGTTTCTCTCTGCTGATCAGCAGCTCATTAAACGCCGCCTGATTAAGGTAGTGCTTGTTCTTGCTGAAGTCTGATTTCTTCTTTACAGTGGATATTGCTCTGTGTTCCTATTGCTTTACAATTTATCTCTTATGGGTGGGGTGTGGGTGGCGGGTTAGTATTTATTTGGAAATATCCTCAAACAAAATTGCATTTAGTGAGCTGCATTTGTTTGAAATGTTAGATGACAGTACCAAAAAAGATATTAAAAGCCTATCAAATGTTTTCTTAGTTAAAAAAATTTAAATTGTGCCGGGCGCGGTGGCTCAAGCCTGTAATCCCAGCACTTTGGGAGGCCGAGGCGGGTGGATCACAAGGTCAAGAGATCGAGACCATCCTGGTCAACATGGTGAAACCCCGTCTCTACTAAAAATACAAAAAATTAGCTGGGCATGGTGGCATGTGCCTGTAATCCCAGCTACTCGGGAGGCTGAGGCAGGAGAATTGCCTGAGCCCAGGAGGCGGAGGTTGCGGTGAGCCGAGATCGAGCCATTGCACTCCAGCCTGGGTAACAAGAGCGAAACTCCATCTCAAAAAAAAAAAAAAAAAAAAAAAAAAAATTTAAATTGTAACCACTAACAGATCCAGTTTCTAAGCTTTCCAGCTTTGCTAATTTATAAATTATTATGCCATATGATGGGAACCTCATATGCTTAATTTTATAGGGTATGAAAAAGTAAACACATTTGTCTAACTATAAATGCAGCCATTTTGTTAAATGTGGTGCATGTAACTGATGCAGGGTTGTTATGGATAAAGTAATGCACACGTTTTATACCAGCTCTGACTACAGTGGTAACATATACCCTATTTCCAAGAACTGTAAGCTCTGGTTCCTGCACTGCTTTGATTTTAATAGCATCTACTCAGTCACCCAGCATGAATATTTATTTGCTGCCTGCTGGGAGGCAAATTGCCTACAGGCTTTATATTTGTGACTGTTGTGGTTCTTTTCATAGTGTAAATGTGGATTAGATAATACAAATTTAAGGTGCTGAAAAGAAGACCTGAGTCTTTATCTTTCATGGTTATTGCTGGTCTGTTCCCTTCTCCATCACAGGGTGACCAAGGACAGGCAGGACCTCCAGGACCCCCAGGCCCTCCAGGCCCAAGAGGACCACCTGGGGACACAGGGAAAGATGGCCCCCGTGGAATGCCAGGAGTACCCGTGAGTTTCTTTTTGGATTACTTGTTCTCACAAGTTTTGTTTCGTGTTAAGGGCTGAGAACTAGGGTGGAGTAGGGTGGTGGGGGCATCAGGTCAGGGGGTCCAGTGAGCGGCGTGGGTTTAGGGGAAGTGGGATGATGGGAAAGTCCCCAAGCAGCTTGGGGCGCTCCCAGGTGCATTCCTCTTTACCACACAATCCACTGGGGATCCCAAGCAAACCACTAGAGACACCTAGAGGCAGCCACTACCCTGTTTTTAAGCCTCAAGAAGTCTGTGATTGGAGTTGCCTGACCCCATTTGTCTCTTCACTGCCATAGTGTGCACCAGGACCTTTGGTTTAAATGGGAGATTCCTTTGAAAAACTAAGTAGGAGACTAATAACATTTTCCAAAGGTTCAAGATCAGACTGATAAAGTTCTATGTTATTTATGGAAAATAGAAGAAGTGAAATATTCCAGTATTTAATCCCTTATAAATAACTTGAACCTCCAAAATTGCTAAAAACCATAAAATGAATGATTAAAACATCAGTGGGTATGGTTTAAATCTCATTTGTCTTTTGTATGAAGGTCTTATTCATAGAAATAATTTAAAAGCAATCTCAATGTTTGGCTACTAAGTTTGGTCAAGTGTCAATGAATGTAAAAGGCAGAAGATAAACAGTTTGGTTTCATAGAGGCAATCCAGCAATTTAAAGAACTATATGGAAAAGGTCAAAAATTTTAGATTTATTTTATGACTTTAGGACTAGAAATTAAGGTTTATTACTGGATTAAATTATTTTTTCAATATATTTAACAAATTATTTTCATTGTTTTTTGTAGTACATAATAATAATGAAAATATTTATCCCTAAAGCAGAAAATTTTGAAAATAAGACCAAAAAGAAAAAAATAAAAATATGCAATAGTCTTTATTGTTTTGGTGTATTTTCTTTCATTTTTATATGCATGTTTATGCATTCTTAAAAAGAATGACTCTTTATAAGAATATAACATACTTTAGAACTTCTGAGTCAGCCTCATAAGCCCATAGCTCTTTCTAAAGGCTGCTGTGAATTCACTGTTATAAAATGAGGAATGGTCTTCCAACATATGATTTGCTAGTTGTTAGGACTGCTTTCACTCAACCTTCAAAGACAATAGTTGAATTCTATAACTGTCTTCTAATGCCTCACTTTTTTCCATAATAATATTCCAAAAGGCAGAGACAGCTACAGCTTTAGGGATATTTAAAGTTCTCCCATTGATTGCTGGTTGCCAACAGAGATACAATGAGTGTCTCTCACAAAGTAGTTAAAACCATTTTGATGGTAAAACATTAGATCATTGAGCATCATACTCAAATTCAAGATAGAAATTACCTTTATAAAAACAAAATTAAAGGTAAGGTATAACAAATCACAGAATCCAAAATTATATCATTATTTAAATGAACATAGTTAATTCATGTAAGTAAGAAATGGAGCTTTCTATACATAGGACAAATTGTTTCAAAATTTTCAAACATATTACTTGAACTGTATATGGTCTCAGAGTTTATATATACTATCATGACTGCTAGAAAAAGTTTTTTGTGTGTGCATTGCGGTCTTTGCGATGTTGCCCAAGCTGTAGTGTGGTGGCTAATCACAGGTGCCATCATCATAGCACACTATAGCCTAGAAGTCCTGGGCTCAAGAAATTCCCCTGCCTCAGCCTCCCAAATAGCTGAGAAGGTATATCATCATGCCTTACTAGAAAAAGACTATAAAAATAAACTGTGAAATACTTATTTTGAAAGACCAGCAATATCTACATTTATAGGCTTTTTAAGACAAAAAATATGTTTAGCCAATGACTATCATTATGACAATAAAACATGATAATTCTAAATCCATTTGAATATAAGGAAATGATAGTAATCTCATGATATAGTGCATTTTTCTCTGTCAAATTTAATCAAACATGTTACTTCAGCCATTATTAATCCAGGAAGACCAAAAGTTAAAATCAGTCTCTGCTCATTTTATTATTTAATTCTAGTACCAAGAGCAGTTATCTTTTTGTCCTATGTATGAAAGTACTGAGTTTTCCTAAAGAAGACACCATGTCATTATCTTTGTGTCACCCTAAAGAAGACATGATAATCTAGACTAATTTTATTAAACCCTAAATTTGTGAAGTTTGTTTGTAGAAGGGAAGTCAGCTCTGTTTTAATGTGCTACATTCCTCTATTTAACCTGAAGGAATATACTTGATATTTACATACCCCAACAGGTATAGGGAAAAAGAAAAAGGAATTATTAAGGGTTTTAAAAAAATGCTTACAACGTTACTAAAATTATCACTATTCTTTTTTAAGGGTGAACCAGGAAAACCAGGAGAACAAGGCTTGATGGCAAGTATCTCAATTTATCTTTTTCTATACTAAGCCAGGTTATTTAAAACTATGGTCAAGATTATATGTGACAGATGTATCTGTGATATGACAGACTATAATAAAGAAAATTAGTAAAAGTTAAAAGTAACACGACCTATCTACTACATGCTAAGTGTCATAAGACTACATATCTACATTGGTGTTGCAGGAGAAAAAGGAAGAGATTCCAGGTGTCGGGAGCGACAGAGACCCTGCAGGTCAAAGGAGACGATTTAGTTACTGACTCTGCTGTAAGAGAGATTAAATTTAGGGGCATGCCTATTAGCTTAAATAGAAATAGAAATTCCATTTTCAAAGGGATCAGGTCTGAGTAAATTAATTAGCACAGCAAACTTTGCAAAATGATTCAAAGAGTTACTTCACTGTTGTAAAATAGTTGTGGCTTTTGGTTTTCTGTCATTAAAAAAAAAAAAAAAAGTGGTCCTGAAATGATTCCACATGGACTTACTCATAGACACACAGGTCCCAATTCCCCGTGATTTGTTTATCTTTTGCTGGTAGAAGAGATGTTTGGTCAGGTTGATGAGTCGGAAAGAGTAGAATTCCTCCAACCTACCTCTTCCTGTCCCCTTCTCTCTGTCTCCTGAGCTGCCGCTCTAATCTATGTTATGATATGAACACTATTGGGAATCACAGGGTAACTCTCTAATAACCTAAATGCCTGAGGACGGCTCACACTCATCCTGGATGCTGAAGGAGTGGGCCCAGAGATTGCCAGAAAGCTGGCAGGTAACCACAGTCAGCTTGACTCTGTCCATCCTGCAAAATGTTTGGCATGCAGTATGCAGATTTTCAAAGTATAAAATTTAGACCAGGCATGGGGGCTCACACCTGTCATCTTAGCACTTTGAGGCCAGGGTGGGAGGATCACTTGAGCCCAGGAGTTTGAGACTAGCCTGGGTAACATGATGAGACCCTGTCTCTAAACATATATATACATATACATACACACACACATGTGTATACACACACACACATATATTCTAAATAAATAAACATATATATTTAAAGAAACATGTCCTAGTGAAACTAATGCATAAGGTCAGGAACAAACAAGTCTTCCTTGGGCTTGAGATGCATTCAGCAGCTCTCCCAGGGAGTCAGCTGTCGGTGGAGCTGCCTTTGCAGGAGCCCTGGTGAAATGAAAGCACCCTGGGTCCAGATATCACCCACTGCCTGGAAATTCTCTGTTCCTGACCTGTAATATCAAAATGCACATTTGATACAGATAATTTTTTGGTACTATAATGGATTTTTTGAAAAAGGAAAAAAGTGTAAGAAACAGGAAGAAGACCACATGTAAAACTTAAACAAAACCTTTGTCATCAGTGGTAACTGCATAGAATGTAGCATTAGCTCTCAGTGGTATGGAGTTACAGAGTGAAGAATTCTGGGAGGGTGACAATATAAATTTTGCAATTACTTTAAGCAGTTGAAGGTATATGTAATTTTTTTCCTGGAAAATGGTGAAAACACATTCTTCCCATATATTCTTATATTGAAAGCTATGTGGGCTTCTCAGGAGGCTTTGTTTGTCCCCAGGTGTGCACAGATTACTCATATTTTTATTGCTGGCCTTGGCTTTTTTCTCTGATGCCCAACACAGCATCCTAATATACAGTGTTCTAAATTAAAATAGATATATTTTTAAAAATTCTTATCTTCCTTGAATTTATATATGTTCTCTAAGATATATTATGTGACTAACAATATAATCTCATTTTCTTACCATTCCCAGTTTGACAAAGTTGAATACAAATGTTTAACCTGATCCTAAATCACCTGCATTATTATCTTAGTGTGCTCCAATTCCCATTTCATATCAAAACTTTCTCAGGTGAAATAATACTGGATTTTTTTTTCTACAAACTTTTCTTCACTCTTTAAACTCTTATGATTTAGTTCATGTTCTTATTTTTTAAATGCATTTAAGAAACCTAATGGAAATCACAAATGTTTCAAGGATATGGATATTAAATGATCTAAATGGCATTTTAAAATTACTGTTTTTAAAGATGTAAGATTCTTTTCAAAGAGGAAACTTCTTTAATGTACGTAAAGAAAGGTAGACAAATTATAGTATATATATCCAAGTGAATTTTCACCAAGTGAACATAACTATATAAAAAGCAGATCAAGAACGAGGACATTATCTTAAACCCTCCTTTACCCCTGTTACCATCCCAGAGGTAACCATCATCCTGACTTCTGTCACTATACATTAGTTTTGCCTACATTTGAATTTTATAGTAATCAAATCCTACCGTATGTACACTTTTGTGTCTGGCTTCTTTCATTCAACATTATATTTGTGAGATCATCAACCTCTGTTTTAATGGCTTTCACAGCTTGTTTAAAAAAAATAAGAGGAAGAACCATATTTCCTTGAGTACCCCGTTAAAACTAAATCATTCTGATAGCAGTAAATGAATGAATGTCTGTCTGACCTTGGGCAAGTCACTTAACCTCTCAATTTCTCATCTGTGAAGAAAGGATAGCAATACCCTCTCTGACTGCCTTAAAAGTTGTCAAAAACAATGCAATAAATTAGGGGAAAGCACTTTAAAACATATAATGAAGAACTATATGACTGTGTTGTTATTATTATTGCTCAATTGTTCTCTCCAGAGTAAATAACAGGTGAGTGTGGATTTATATAACAGATGTATTCCTGCAGAGTTTTGTCTAAATCAGATTTTCTTATATCAACATATTTTGAATGTGCCAGGGAATTTTGCTGTTTAAAACAATCCTATTCAGAATCTTTCTATAAATCAGTATAATCCCCTAATTCAGCTAACTGAATTTCTATATTTTGTGTTTCCTTAACATGAAATATTTCTCCAATCTAAAAATCTATCTTTTTAAAAAGAAATCATGACATGTTCACTTGAATAGCACCTATGTATTTTAACTCATATCAAAGAGAGAAGAGGATGCTAGAAATACAACTGCAATTTTAATGAGGAGGAAATTTTTCTTAGAAACGTAGAAATTTTCTTTCACACATTGTGTGTGTGTGTGTGTGTGTGTGTGTGTGTGTGCATTTATGTCCATGAACTTGAAATCTGGTAGGGAGCAAAGTATACTGTATAAGTAGTTCTGGTTTTAGAACTACTTAGTGGTGTATAACTATAGTCTGTGATCCTTTTTACTGATCTATAAAATGTAGGTAATAATTCCTGTTCTACTTCTCTCACTCGGTTATGGTGAGAAGCAAGTGAAATGATAATATGAAATATTTTATGAACCACAAAGAGTTCCATAAATGAGAAGTATTACTATTAAAACAAATGTCTGGTGATATAACTTGGCATTCAGAAAGGCTGCTCTAAGAAATGTAAGAACTAAGAACAGTCGAATAACAGCTACCAATTAAGTTACAACATGTCAAATGCTGCAGTGAAGAGTGTGATTTATTGCTTTTGTCCTATTTTAGCTGTTTTAGCCTTCCTCTCCTGTACATCATATCATCTTCCATTATCAATTTTTCATGACATTCCCCTTGTCACCCACTTATTAAGACAAACAAAACATAATAAATACCACTGCTCTCATCTTTTTCACATTATGTAAACCCCACTCCACTTGTTGGTTTGTGTCATGGAGGAGTGCTTGCTTACATAAGGGTCTTACGAGGCACTGGAGAATTGTTATAAATTTAAAATGTCTCTGATGATGAAATGAAGAAGCTAGAAACAATCTAAAATTAGCTCTTGCAAAAGTGTTTATGAGTGTATCAGGTAGGGGATTAGTTTTCATAATCTAAGATATATAGTTTATATTGCAAAAGCTACCATCTGAAGATTAACAGCATCTATGATAGAATGAAAAACAAAACCTGCAGCTCACGTAGTTCCGCATTTATTTAACCCTGCCATGCATCTATTCTGTAAACATGACCTTTGGGTTTTCCGAGAAGTTCAGGATGAGCTTTTGAAACGCAGTTCTTGCACTCAAATAAATTTGACTCCACCCAAATAAGAACTGCTGTATCTTATGAAAGTAGACCAAAGAATGAAATAAAGGAATGAACATAATTGAAAGTGATCACGTTCTGAATCCTAGTACAAATGATCTTTATCTTTCAGTTCTTCAGAAATTCAAATGGTTGTTAAAATAGTATTTTAATAGGTATCTTTCCTTTTGATATTCTGTTTCTTTCTTTGACAAATGCAGAAATTTTCGAAAGCATGAAAGATAGATGATATTTTTAAAAAATATGCCAAATAGTGGCCGGGTGCGGTGGCTCACACCTGTAATCTCAGCACTTTGGGAGGACGAGGCGGGCGGATCATAAGGTCAGGAGTTTGAGACCAGCTTGGCCAACATGGTGAAACCCCGTCTCTACTAAAAACATAAAAATTAGCCGGGCATGGTGGTATGTGCCTGTAATCCAGCTACTCAGGAAGCTGAGGCAGGAGAATCGCTTGAGCCCTAGAGGCAGAGGTTGCAGTGAGCTGAGATTGCACCACTGCACTCCAGCCTGGGCAACAAAGCAAGAGTCTGTCTCCAAATAAATAATAATAATAATAATAATAATAATAATAATAAAAATACACACACACACACACACACACACACACACACACACACGTTCCAGTTTCATGTATACTATTTTTTGTTCCAAGTTGTCTATATCCAAAGTTTCAGAGACCAATTTCCTGTTCTGAAGTTCTTTATTCCTTTCTTCCCGTTACCTACATATACATAAGCTCCATAACATATTCTTTTATCTTGCACTGAATGATAAGAATACTTAAAATGACTCATTGGGTTCTGGTTATATCTGAGAGTTCAAAACTCAAACATTTCCTGTTGTACTGTCTTAAAGTGAAATTTGGACATCTGTCCAAGTTTACAGATATTTTTAGTTGATTTTCATTTTACCTGCAAACACATTTAATACATTTAGGTCAAGTGAATATGGTGTTTTTAAAAAATATCAGTCAATAACA